GGTGGGCAGACGTTGAGGCAGGCATACCGGAAGGAAGACAGTGAGGCTAATGGGGAAAAGTAGACAAACACCAAGGAAAATAGAGGGACAAATTTGGAGAAGGTCGCTCTTTACTGTAGGGCAAAATGGTGAATGGTGAGCCAAACGGCAAATTAGGAAACCAGGCAGTGAGGCAAGCGGGGAGGCAAGAGGCAAACAGCAATCCTCTCCGCGATAGCCTTGCTTTTTGCCAATGCTGCAAGCAGGGAAGAGAGGCACACAGCAAGGCAAATGGAGAGGCGAAAAAATGGGGAGAGGAGGTAGCATTTAACGGTGTGGCGTTGCGAAAGCCTAAAGCGAACAGCGACCCTTTCCCTGTTAGCTTTGATGTTTGCTGTGCTCCAAGCAGGGAAGAGAGGCACACAAAACAGCACGGCAATCGGAGAGGCAAAGGGTGAAGAGGTAGCACGTACTTCAGATATGGGGCCATTGGGGCTACAACGGCTTTGGGGAAGGTGAGGGAAATGGAGAAGGACGCTGTGCTTCAGATATGGAAAAGGGAGGTGAAAGGTGATGGAAATGAGGAAGCAACTTCAAGCAAACCTGACAGTGAGGCTATACAGGGGCTGAAAGTGAGGGAAATGGTGAAGGAGGCTATGACGGGAGAGGACGCAAACAGCAAGGCAAACTGTAGGCAGGAATGGGAAAAGGACGCACAGTTGGAAAGGGTGAGGCAAATGGGGAAGAGACGCAACAGCAAGGTAAACGGAGAAGCAAATCGGTGACGGATAAAGTGTTTGCGATTAGAGCAGGGGGGCAGCTGTCATTTTTCGGCTATAAAATTATATATTTTGTTGCCCATATGATACATTGGCCACTAGAAATAGTAGCGGACGTATCGTGCCACCTTCTGCATGAGGATGCGCTCACCATTTTTCACATTTCGTGTCATTTGCGACCGGTGTGGTGGGGCTCTGACTCTGCTGACGCAGCACTTCCACGAGTATCCACGGATTCCTTGTAGGCGTCGAGGCAGGCAGCCTATCGCCAAACATCAAACTGAAGAGCATGCGTATTTTGCGAACAGAGGAGGACGACAACGACGACGAGGAGCAGAACAGAGAACGAGGAGGAGGAGGAGGAGGAGGAGGAGGAGAACAGAGGAGGAGGAGGAAGAGGAGGAAGAGGAGTGTCTGCTATAAGATGAGATTTTTAGTTCCATTGTGGAGTGGCGCAGTTTAGGAAAAAGGCGTTTGCTGGGGGTGCGTATCGATGGGGCTGGGACAAAGTACAAGGATTTGTAATTGTACAAGTTTTGTAGCGTTAGGAGGAGGAGGAAGAGGAGTGGGAGAGTAGGGGCAGAAGGTGCAGGAATAGGGGGGAGGAATTGGGACAAGTTTTTGTAGTCAAAGAATACAGGTGATCGTGTTGCTCATTGATAGAGTGTTGAATCTGTTTATGGTGTTGTCAGATATTTCAGTGGTGAATTCGGCGGTTTCGACTACTTCCGGCATGAGTCGTCATAGAAATGTGCTGACTCGCAAGCAAGGGGCAGCTTGATGGGGAGAGGGAGTGAATAGCAGGCATGGGACCAAGGAAGGTGCGACTCAGGAACGAGGCGATCCCCTTTTCTTTTTCCTTTTTTTTTAATGTGATTTATCACAAGTCTTTGAGGAGTTTCTGAAGCCTGTGAAAAGCATGCTGTTCTATACCTAGGGCAGTGGAGTGCTTTTATTTTCCCGTTCTTTCCACTGCAGCAGAACTCGGCGCACAAGGGTTTAGATAAGGTACATATTCACACAGGCGCGTAGATGCACAGATACTTCAGCAAAACCGCAGAGCGGGATGTCAAATAGGAAATAGCAGCATCATGTATGTCCCATCCCGTACGCCCCACCAACCTTCCACAACTCCCAAGAAAATATGGTGAAGGCGGTAGGCTCATCTATGTGGGACTGAAAATATGGCCCTTCCGTGGAAGGCCCCATTCGCCCCAACATATGGGGCTCCATCAGGTGCAAAAGACGTACAGATGGTGCAGTATTCAAATCATGTACCTTTCACGAACCTCTACCATTTTTTTACAAAACCAATCCCTCCAGTGCTAGTGATGCTGTTGAAAGCAGACATCGCTAGCACCTGGGGAGGGGCTCCATCTATTGGTGGGAAGCGTCACCTGCTGGAAAAGGGTCCAGCGTCCCTTACACAAGGACCTCTTAAACTGCTACTACATCACCTAGGCAAACTTCAGGAGCTCTTAAACCGGCATTCTATTGCCCAGGTTAACTTGCGAATCGGAATAGAGACAATCCAATCCAAAATTTGTGGAGGCGTGGGGCTGCCGAACCAAATGGCTGACGGCACCAGAAAAAGAAATAAAAAGTCCCCTGCTGACATTTCGGCCAAGTTTGACACGCATCAGGTCTGCCTTGGCAGAAAGACTCGTGGATGTATTGGTGGTTTAAATCGCTAGAACACATCCCCAGCCTTGCAGAAAGTTTTTTGTCGCCACAAGCAAAACTCGGAGGGGCCCCGTGGCGTGGGGCGCTGTTGAAAAGAAAAAATTGACAGCCTCCGAAGTGGGGTGCAGGTTTCACACTGACACCCATAAGCCGACGTGTGGTGTACTGGTGTTTTTGGATTTTTGGATGGAACATGGTCACATTCAGTCTTTTTTTTCTTTTTTCTTTTTTCTTTTTCTTTTTAAACTAAGCTGTATTCTTCTCTCAATTTCAGCTTTCACTCTCTACGTACCACTACTCCTAAGCCTAAACAGGGGACCCGCTGCAAGCATAGCTACCTCTCACAATGAAGGGGATGCATGTTGCCCCCCGCCGATTACGGGAGTAGGGTGGGGCCACCGGTGGGGGGCTGGCAGCTAATGCAAAAACGGCGCATTTGCCAGTAGCTGCGCCTCCCATCTACTTACCCCAGCTTCCATCAAGTAGCAGCAGTGGCTATGGGCCTATGGCCACCACTCTCCCACAGACCACGCACAACACACTCACACTCTCACTCACACCCGTGTTGGTCATAGGCCCTACTAATACCGATCAGGGGTATCGAGCGGACTACCATTTTGCCAGTAGCTGTGCCTCCCATCTACATCCCCTAGCCCCCATCAAGTAGCAGCAGCGGATATGGCACCACTCTCCCACACATCACACACAACTCACTCACCCGCACACTCACACCCTGGGCCCTACTAATACCGATTGGGGGTATCAAGCGGATTATCACGGTTCGTTGGCACTAAGTGCGCCGCAGGCAGTCCCGGGGCTTGAACCCACAACCTCCTGAATGCCATTTGTGTGCCTAACGAACTGAGTTAGGCCAAAGACATGTAAGTTTTTGCTGCACATACTCTAGGCCCAGCCTCGCCAACGACATGTAAGTTTTTTTTACACATACTCCAGGCCCAGCCTCTTAGCCTGTTTGAGTACAGAAATGATTGCAGAATTGTGTACAAAAGAATAAAGTTGATATGATTACACGCCGTGCCACAGCCTGAAGGTCCCAAACCAAGGCCCCAGTAACATCACAAAGGTCCCAAAAAGTCTCAAACTGCAGACCCTCTTTCTAGCTGGATGTCCAGAGGTACACTTTAAACCGTCAGTACTTCCTAAAGTCTTTGCCCGTTAACAAGCCACAATTTTAGGAAACGTACAGGCCACTACAGGAGCGCCCAAATTCATCCGACTAGAAACGTTTCTGCTCGGTTGAATTTGGGCGCTCCTGTAGTGGCCTGTACATTTCTGCTCCAGTCTTGACCCAGAACTTAATCCACCCCCGATAGCTGGGTCAAGTACTGGTGGTTTAAGGGCAGGGTTCCGGGTAGCCCCAGCACAAAATTAAAAATAATAATAAAAATAAAAAAGTCCGGACAGACAATGTGTTGTGTAGAAATGAAATACAAACGATTTTTGGCTGAGGGGCACATTAGAATTCCTGATGGAATTGGAGATAAAAAAGAAAATAACAGAACCACACTAAGGCACCCCTCTTTTAAACCACCGGTCCCCCCGCCAGTGAAAACCCTCGGTCGCGGTGAGTTAGGGCCGGGTTTTTTGGCGGTAGCCGGCCGCAACTCACCGATTCACCCGCCCGCAACTCACCGATATTCCGCAGTCCCAGGCGAGTGTGCCACGTTCCCGCGTAGCAGACGGCGAACGCTGCCGGATTCCATCGACGGCCGTGGCGACGTGAATCCGGTCCAGTGTTGGGGCCGCCCGGTAACCTCGATCGGACTTCGTGCCGTTGGCGGCAACGACGAGCGAAAGCGAATAAACAAAAAAAATAAAAAAACAAAAACAAGTAACGCGAAAAAAAAAAAAAAAATCGCGGCCGCGCTCTCACCGTCGTGCCTCTCCTAACAAAAACTGTAATGTGAAAACACGTACCGCACGCCGTGTTCTCCGGTCCATTGCGTAGGCTTTCCTTTCGGCGTGCGGGAACCGACCTCCGTTCGGGATCGTGGACTGTAGTCCGCCATCGCCGCCAACCCCCAACGGAACCTCGGGCCGCTTGCTGTGTTGTTTCCCTCCACCGTCATACCCAGCCCTCGAGCGGCCGCGTCCCATGCCCATCGTTGCACTGCGGCGGGCAGATAGCGGTGCTGCGTTGCCCCTTTGTGCGCGGCGGTGTGTGTTCGTTTAGGGTTCGTGCGTGGTTCTCAGTCTCGCTGTCGGCATGCAGTTGCGTCGTCACATAGCCGTGTGTTCCAAGTTCCTCTTCCGCTGTGCCTCGTGTGAGCCCCTCGTCTGCCAGAGTGTTTGAGTGTTTGATTGGTCGCTGTACACAGTACAGGGCGGTTTGAAGTCCCCGGCAGCGGCTGTTTGTGTTTGCGTGCGTGACTGCTGTTGTGTGGCCGTCACTGCGGTGCGTCCTTCCACGATCGATTGTGCTGTGCGCATGCGGTCGCGCGTTTGGTGTTGTGTCGGCCGTTCGTGTTCGTCGACGTGGGCGCAGGTTTGTGTATGTGAGAGTGTGGTCGTGTCAAAGTGTGTGAGTTGTCGTGTTTGTGAGTGTGCGTTATCATGTCTGTTTGTGTGTCGCTTATCTTGTGCGTGTGTGTGCGTTACCATGTGCTTGTGTGTGCATTATCGTGTGCGTGTGTGTGCGTTTTCGTGTGCGTGGTGGTGTGCTTGCATGTGCGTTATCGTGTGCGTTCGTTTTTTGTGTGGTCCGGCCGCTATTAGCTGTTCAATTGGTTTCGTTATGTCCTTTTTTTGTTTTTTTTTCTTTGTTGTCATATAATTCCCGTTCTTTGTCTCTTTACTTCGTACGGTCCACGTGTCACTTCCATCACGCGTCTTCTTCATCCATTAGTAGGGTAGATTTTTTTCTCCTCTTATCTTCTTCTTCTTGTAATTCTTCTTCTTCTTCTTCTTCTTCTTCTTCTTCTTCTTCTTCTCGCCCGTCGGCCCTCTGTTCGCATATCGGTGGTGATGGGGGACTGCCGCGTTCCGGACTCTGAAATGTGAATGCGGACAAGTAATCAAACACGTTGTGCACCTTTACGCGATAAGCAGTCCACGACTGCTATTTTCACGGCCACTGTTTTCATTTTTCTTGTTTGTTCTTCTTCTTCTGTTCAGGTTGTCGCTTTCGTTCTTCTTCCCTTTCTTCGATTGATCATTTATGATTGATTTTCTGTGATTCGATTTTCTTGCATCGTCTTTTGCACGTCTTTTTCTTGTTCTTAGTCGCCACTACACTTCTGGCACTTCTGCCTTCATCTTCTTCGGATCTATTCCTTTTCTTGGTCGTCGCCTGTGATTATTGTCATTATCGCCGGTTTCCCTTGTTCCTCGCAGCTTTGTACTGTTCTTCAACGCTTGTGTTTTGTATCGAGTTATTTTTTTGTTTTCGTTTTTTTTTTGTGTGTTTCCTTTACTTCTTCTTCTTGTTCTTGTTGCTCTTGTTTTCTTCTTCTTCTTCTTCTTCTTCTTCTTCTTCTTCTTCTTCTTCTTCTTCTTCTTTCGTCCTTCGCTTTGTCCATGTGCGCGGAACTTGTTCCCCCTGTTGGGTGATGTTTGGCGGTTTCCTTCCTCTTTTGTAAACCTATTCGCCTGTTGGCTGTGTGCAAGTGGGCCGATAGGACACACCGGGGGTGGGGGCAGCCTACGGTCGACCAACATCCACGTGGCCGACCTTGCACGAAAGAGGTTCTGATTCGGGGGAGTTGTAACGGAATCGTCATCCGAGATTGTCTTTTCTTGTGGTTGTCAAACCAATATCGGGACTTTTCCGGGGTTTTTTTTTTTTTTT